CACTCAATCCACGGCAGTGTGTTGGACACTGCTAAGTGCAATTGGCTACCACACTTCGCCCACAAAACACACAGTCACTACACTTTACAGTATATTCTGTGAAGCGCTTTGAGACGTCTCAAAGACGTGATAATGCGCTGTATCAAATGCAAGAATTAGTATTATTATTATAATCTACTCTGATGTGCAGAAGCCAGATCCGGACTCCCACCCCATCTCAGTGCCCACGCCATGAAGCCTGAAATTTACTAAACTTCAGAGTAGCACCACGATCTTCCTGACTGACAGTCGAAAGACACAATTTGTGAATCAGATAATAAATATGCCCCTTGCTTTCAGGATGACTAAACTAGAATGAAGTCAGTGAAGGCGATTGGTGTCTACTATATCCAGGTAATTCATATTCTATGCTTAGGAATCTTTTCAATTAGTACACAAGTTAGACTCCAATAAATGCAGTTACATGTAATACAAAAACTGCTTAGATTCCAATACAAAAACTACGTCAATCGTACTTTTCACATACTTGGATAATATATTATATCACAGTCAAGTCCACTGCTATGAGCAGAAATTGTTGTTCTGGGCCCCTTTAGTCTAACAAGTATGTAAAATATTCAAATCTTACTATTGCTGCCACATTGTCCTAATCCTCCTCAAAAAGATTTATAGTGCTTGAAACAACCAGCCAATACCGTTATAGTGCTTCAAAACAGACACAGGACAATAGAGACTCATTACAATCCACTAGTTGGGGTTATGAAAATTTAACTGCGTTATAAACAGGTCATGTTATAATCATGGTGACCCACCCTCACTCTAGAGATGTCAACTATATTGCAAAGACCCATTACGCCTACATTCCCTGAGCGGGAAGCCAGCTAATTGGAATAAGAACGTAGAACAGGTAACAATAACAACAACAACAAAATTACGTTCATGTAGCTCCTTTCACGTCGGGAGGACGTCCCAAGGTACTGGACAAACAAGGTTTTTCGGACCTGAGCTGAGGTTCGGGATCGGGGAGGGTAGAGGGCACGGGGGGAAGGAGGGTGACTAAAGGCAAGGTCGAAGAGGAGGGTAAACCATGGGTCCACTGTGTTGCAGTGTTATACGAGAACTCACAATATAATGATGCACATTATAAGAAAGCTACAGTGCAGTCACGACTGAATCCATATTTTAAAAAAGCATGTAATTCTATGTTAACAATCAGCCTTGCTAACACGAACCAAGGTGTACAATAACCTATAGTGTTACTACACTATTAGGTTCACCAAATTTGAACAGTGCAGTCTTGCTGAACTCTGTTGCCAGGGAAAATCGCCAACGACAAATCTAAACAAGTTAATAACACAGTTTTCTTCATGAACAACCTGCTCAATGGCATTGGCTTTATGTCATGCAAACTTATGATCAGCAAGAAGCTATAACATGCAGTTTGTTTTGTTATACTGCTAACCTCTGATCTTTGTCCCTGGCTTCTGTCTGTGATTGACATGAACTCGTGAACAGTGGAGGTCAGTGCCATGAGTACACACAGCATGTGTTAGTGACATGAATCCCCATGATAAGAAATTACAAATGACTTTAAAAATGCATGGCATGGGTCATTTATTTTTTAAACCACAGCAATGCTAAACATCTATTTAGAAATACTTTAATTCTGAGACAATACATTTACGAAGGAAGTTGCATTTTTAAAAGGCCGGATTGGGTTGAAAAATCCCACTTTACAATAAATGCTGACAAATGTAATGGCTGTCTTTTGTAGATAAATCAACCACGAGGTGGATGCCCAATTAAACTGGAGATTATTGGTCATGACATTATTGGTGAGAAAACCAGTGCTCTTTTCCAATGGTTTCATGGGATTTTTATATCCACCTGAAAAACAGGTATTCAAGAGTTTTTTGTTTATATCTTGTCTGAAGCCAGTGCATATGACAAGCAGCGCTCCCTCAATACTACACTGGAATGTCAGCCTAGATGTAAGGTTCAAAGCGAAAACTTCTCATCCAGAGTTGAGAGTGCTACCCAGAATCCAAGACAGAAGAAAAATGTGAGAGAAATTCTCAAGAACTTTTCTATGTGGTCATTCCTCCCAAGGATAGCGTTAAAATGGTCTGCAATACAGAGCAACTCTCCACATACACAACCCATTTACAAAATGCTTTCCATGTTTAGTACAAAATTCCAATAAGAGTATAATTTTGTGTTTTATTTGGCACATAATTCTGTCACTTCAAAGTTATTCACAAGTACACAATAAAACTGTTCAGACACAACCACTTTGGAGATCGACTCCAAATTGTTTTTTTGTACATATTCAAGCCTGAATAATTAATGTACAGTGGGCACAGATGGATGGACATTATAGATGAGTGATGTTTGAGGTAGTTTGACTGTAATCATCACTGTTCAGTATGTTTTAGTAAATGAAAGCAATGTCTCATAAAGAGTTGACTCAAGCAATGGTAATGATTTTCAAATGTGTCATATTTTTACAGTGAAGCATTTCATTGCATTTGTAGAGCAGGAGCTGCAGTTTATATATTCATTTTCTGCCTCCAAATATCCAATGTTCATTGCTTCATTAAAATCCCAAACTCCTCTGTGCAGTCAGCTCAAGGCAAGTCACCAACCAGCCTTGGTCAAGACAAGCAATACGGTACTTTCTAGTTCACATTGCATTGTATTTCCATCAAAGAACAACTGAAGAAGTTCTGAACATTAACTGAGATTTCACAGCATTTGGGATCCCAATTTTACTGTAGGCAGCTTCCACCGTACAGGAACAACAGAACATCTGCATGTACACTGTTCTGTTAAAGCCCTGAATGGAGGTTTCTTTGTCTCCTGTTCCCGAGTCTGGTGAAGGTTCATAAAAGCAAGCAAGTGGAACAACTACATCCCTGCTCTGTGGGGATGATGAGAAGGCAGTCCCTGCCTCCTGTGGCACTGTTTACATTTGGGTTGTGGAGCTCTGGAGACAGAAGTGCAACTCTTTTATCTTAAAAGCACTGCTGCTGCAGTCAGGGCTGCTGTCAGCACTATTGCTGCAATGGTATATGCAACATTAAACGCATCTCACAAAAAATAGAAAGTGATGCATTTTTTTCCCTCATTCATGTCTCCTCTATTAATAATCCTTGCATTTGATTTAGTGCCTTATCACGGTGTTGAGACGTCTCAAGGTGCTTCACATGATATATTGTAAAGTGGGTATTTTGTGGGTGAAATATAGCAGCCAATTGCGCATAGCAATGTCTCACAAACAGTGGTGGGTGGATTCATGCACAAAACAGCCCCACCATCTCAAAACCCCTATATTATGTACATAAAAGCGAGGGTTGGAACTGGAGGGGGGGAACTGTTCAGCAAATCACGTAACACAGATTCTAAAGATTAGTTCACAAGACGATTGAAGACGACTCATAACGCCTTTTGAATAACTATGCAGTAGCTCAACATTCATACTCTCGCCCAAAAGGTTCGGACAGTTAGCACTGACTGGATTGACTGTGCAGCAACTCTATTGCTGTCCTGTGTTTACTTTGACAAACCCACGACCCCAAAACCGGTGCACCTCTGAACACTGTCAATAATGCTCGATGTGAGTTACCAAATCCGGATCTGAATGTTGAAAAATCCTCGTGCGCTCTCTTTGCACTTAGAATTGCTACTGCAGTTATTGCAAAAAATACAGCTTGATCATTTTATACACACAGCAAGTATCTGTTTCGGTGTAGCTGGATGTGCACTGGCAACAACCCCACACTTGGGAGGACCTGGTAAGACGATCAACGTGAAGCCCATGAGAGATCACAGCTATTTCCATTGCATCCAGGAGCTAAGTTGCTTTAGGCGAAAAGCACAAAAGAACATAAGAATTGCTGGACCAAAGAAGACCATCCAGTTGGCCTTTCACCATCATGCACAAGTCATGTCCCAAACTATCTGCTGCAGAGTTAAATATACACTATATACTGCATGGTCCAAAAATAAAGGACATATAAAAATTCTGAATTAGCTCTCAACATATCTGTGAGTATATATTCGTTAAAACGAATATGTACCTTTAACAAAAGGTTAGGAAGCCCATCGGGTCATGCGATTTCCAAATTGCAATGCAATGCAATGCACTTTTAGACCCCGAAATGGCAGTCCCGGGCACCGATATTACAAGGGATCGTTCGTCCTGCGGTTGAGACAACCGAGAAGAGGAGGTGTGACCGGTGGACAAACGCGATCGGACGAGGGATGCGGCCGAATGCACAGAAAAGAAACGGTGCGGGAACCACAGAGGGTTGGAAAAGCAACGGATTTATAAACATTTGCTCATCCGCAGCTTTCCCTCATCCCAAACCGAGTCCCGGACACTTCCCACACACACACACACACACTACACTCTCTGCAGTTTAAACCCTGTCACTGGACACCTGACTGACTGGTTGCAGAGACGTCTTTGATATCTAAAACACATGCAACGTTAATGCAATTCAGACAACAACACACAACACTTCCCAATCCTCTCTCTTTCTCTCTCTCTCTCTCTCTCGGGCTTCCGGGAATATAATATTGTGCTTTTTTTAAAAATATATATATTTTTTAAAAAAAAACACATCACCTCCTCCGACCATCGACAGACCACAGCCTCTCTCTCTCTCTCTATCTCTCTCTCGCGGGTTAGTTACCCCCCAATGCACGGCTTTCCGAGCAGTACATTTCACGCAGATTTTGCAAATCATCCGCAAACTCGTTGCGGGTTCATCACATCTCTCATAAACAGCAACACCGTCTGATCTCAAAACACAAAGGGGGTGGAGGGTCGCAGAGGTGGGGGTTGGGGGGTTGGGGTGGAGGGGGGGGGGGTTGGGGTTGGGGGGGGGTTGGGGTTGGGGGGGGGGGGGTTGGGGTGGAGGGGGGGGGGGTTCCAGCATAAATATGACAATAAGTCATTGGGTAAACGCTAATAATAATAATAATTGTGTACTCACTGCATTCTGCCTCTGGTACAAACCCTGAGTGAGTGAGTGAGTGAGTGAGTGTTTGCTGGTGAGCAGTAAAGGGATAACACTGCAGACTGGAGGGCAGTGAGATCTGCAGCTCGGAACTGAGTCAGCGACACACTGCAACAGGTTGGCTTCACACACTCACTCACTCACTCACACACACACACACACCCTCCCACTCCCTACCCCTTCCCGGCTCCACACCCCCCACCTCACAAGGAGGAGCAACGTTCACACACACACTCCCACAGTCTAAAAGCCAACTCACATCGGACAGCCACAGCCCAGGAGTTGGTCACCGCAGCAAAGTTGTGGGCGTCGTTCAACACTTACCTTACTTTACCTCTCGGTCGCTTTGCTGACCAGCCCCGAGCTGCAGCCCTGTGGGTGGGGGTGTGGGTGGGGGGGTGTAGGTGGGTGTGGGGGGTGTGGGCGTGTGTGTGGGTGGGGAGGTGGTGGGGGGTGTGGGTGTGGGGGGTGTGGGCGTGTGTGTGGGTGGGGAGGTGGTGGGGGGGTGTGGGTGTGGGTGGGGGTGGGGAGGTGGTGGGGGTGTGTGGGTGGGGGTGTGTGGGGGGGGTGGGTGTGGGTGGGGAGGTGGTGGGGTGTGTGGGGGGGGGGTGGGTGTGGGTGGGGGTGTGGGTGGGGTGTGTGGGTGTGGGTGGGGTGTGGGGGGGGGTGATGGGGCTCTCCTGGCTGTGCAATCAGCGGCTTCTCTCTCAGCGCACAGTCAACCCTTTTGCTAACACTGGCGGATGGCGCTTCCTGACCTGCACATGGGATCCCGCAGTCTGTGACACTGTGTGTGTGTGTGTGTGTGTCTGGGGTGGGGGGGGGGGGGGCTGGAGAATGTGCATCCCACCCAGTCACTCACCCCCCCCCACCCACCCAGTCACTCACCCCCCCCCCCCCCCCACCCAGTCACTCACCCCCCCCCCACCCAGTCACTCACCCCCCCCACCCAGTCACTCACCCCCCCCACCCAGTCACTCACCCCCCCCCACCACCCCCCCACCCAGTCACTCACCCCCCCCACCCAGTCACTCACCCCCCCCACCCAGTCACTCACCCCCCCCACCCAGTCACTCACCCCCCCCACCCAGTCACTCACCCCCCCCACCCAGTCACTCACCCCCACCACCCAGTCACTCACCCCCCCCACCCAGTCACTCACCCCCCCCCCAGTCACTCACCCCCCCCAGTCACTCACCCCCCCCCAGTCATTCAACCCCCCACCCAGTCACTCACCCCCCCCCCCACACTCACCCCACCCCCAGTCACTCACACCCCCCCCCCCCCCCCAGTCACTCATATACTTCCAGTCGCTCACAGGAGTCCTGTAGCTCAGTGTTTGGAGCACTCACCTCTCAAACGAGAGACCTGGGTTTGATTCCCGGCAGGGCGAAACCTTGGGCAAGTTTCCTTACTCCACACGCCTGATAATAATCCCTCAAGAAAAAAACAATAATAAATTGGTCACTTCAATCCACGACTGTTTGTGGGACACTGCTGTGCGCAATTAGCTGCCGAGTTTCGCCCACAAATATGCAGTCAATTTACTTTACAGTATATTCTGTGTTCTGTGAAGCGCTTTGAGACGTCTCGAAGACGTGAAAAGCGCTATATCAAATGCAAGGATTATTATTATTATTATTATACCCCTAGTCATTCATTTACGCACAGTCACTCATATACTCACGTCACTCATATACCCCCAGTCACTCATTTATACACAGTCACACATACACCCACAAACAAACACAGCTCATACACAGGTTACAGGTAGCAAACACAGTATATCTATGAGGCAAAAGACCGAGTGTGTTGCACGCTGCCCCGGAGGCAGCCTGTTAATGCGTCTAAATGAAAGCCGAGAGTGGGCATTGGCCCTAATGCAGTTTAACAGTTATTAAGTGGTTATTAAATTGTTTCTATTCATCTCTCAAAAGCCTTCGGCCAGTATCTATGGGGGAGGGGGTGGGGGTTGGCTAAAGAAAGGAAGCGCCCCTTACTCTGTATCCTTATCTGAGTCACACCACGTTCTGATGATGTTTGTGTGAGTCATCTGTGTGTCCTGGCTTGTGGAATGTGGTTGTCCTCTTGCTCGGGAAGGTGCTGTCGTGTGCAACTCAGGGTGAATGCGAGGAATTTGAAGGTGAAACCCGAGGCCTATAAATAATCCAAACCATTGATTATCTGCAGGCTGGGCGAAACCCAAGGGTCAACTAACCTAGTGAAACATTAACAGCTCCTCACAACTATAGCCACCATTCAGGTACAATATAGAAGAGGATCATGCAGAATTATCTACCTCTTCAACAGTACACCGAGACCTGTTTGGTTTCACTCCCCACCACGTCAAAATGCAGTGCTAAAAGGATGAAATTTGATCACATTTACAATTGAAGAGTCCAATTTATAGAACTAAAAAGGTATCAAAAAGGCTCTGAATATTTAGCAGTTTTATTTTAACCTTTGTGCATTTATGTTCGGGATCATATACTATGTTTTGTTCTTATACAGTCCCTTGCTATCATTTCAAACATTTCAAATGGCTAAACAGATTGTGCATCGCCATTGGAATGTTGGCATGTGCCATGACTAAATGCAGAGTCACACTTCATTTTGAGCCCTGAGTAGGCGTTGCATACGTATTTTGCAACAATTAACCCTCTCGTGATCACAGATCTATATCATGATCGAGATTCCCATCCAGACACCATTGAGATTTATTTGGATAAATGTTTACGTTTGGTACAACCAACTGCTCGCAAAATAAAGGTCATTAATTAACAGAAAGGAAAGCAATTTGCTGAATGCCAAGCGAACGTCGTAACAATCAGAACTTTGTACCAGAGATTCTGAATCATTAATCTGATGTGGGCAGAGAGACAAGTTTCAGATTGATTCCAAATAAGTCGGTGTATATTTATGCCAGTGCATAACCTTTGGCTGTGTGTAATAACTTGTTCACTCTTGAGCCAATGCAAAGGAAGTCTTATTAGTTTCCACTCATATATTTTGGTGCTATTACAAAAGTGTATGAACAAGAAAACAATTGTACTATCAAAAATCATAAGCTAACACTGTTCTTCATGAAATACAATCATCTATGACTCACATCCCTTGCCCTCAAAAGAGCATAAAATTATTTTAAAAACATATTCAGTAAATATTCATTATTAACCCAATAAACAAAGGCAATTGTAGTTTTATAAAAATACATTTTAAATCTTAATTATAATCCTTACATTTAATAAAGCGCTTTTCATTTTTTGAGGATGTCTCAAAGCGCTTCACAGGATATACTATAAAGTAGAGTGATTATGTATTTTATACGTCAACACGGCAGTCAATTTCATGCACAGCAATGTCCTACAAACAGCCATGAAGTTAATAACCAATTTTATTTGAGGGACTGTTTGACAGGTCACAGGGAGAAACTCTCTTCTCTTTTCAATGAGTCCTACGGGATTTTTAACATCCACCTGAACAGGCAGACAGGATTTGGGTATTAACATCTCATCTGAAGGATGGCATCTCCCAGCACAGCACTCAAGTGTCAGCTTAGTCACTTTAATGTCCTGATTTGGACAACTTCACAACTCTCTGACCTGCGGACTCCCCACCAACCTGCCCGCTTTCTCTGTTCATCGGTCTCCGGCCTGCTCCATGTCTCCCGCCCGACCAACCCTATCATCGGTGGCCAGGCTTTCAGCCTCTCTGCCCCCACACTCTGGAACTCCATCCCACGGTCCCTTCGCCTCGCTTCCTCCCTTGCCTCTTTCAAGGCCGGTCTCAAGACCCTCCTCTTCGACCGTGCCTTTGGTCTCCCTCCCACCTCTCTGTCTTCCCTCACCCCTACACCACCCCTTCCCCTTGCTCAGACCCCGACACCTGACTGTTCAGCACTTTGGGAAGTCCTCCCGACGTGAAACGCGCTCTATAAATGTAATTTTGTTGTTGTTGTTGTTGTTCTGACTGAGAGGTGAGAATGCTACCAATTGAGCCATGCTGATACATTTTTAATTTTTATATCACCAATATCAACAGAGTTAATTTCTTTACAGATAGACTGGAGATGTCAATGTTTTGAAACAAAGAAAGAACCTTTATTTTATAGCACATGATTATGTCAGAGTATCTCAAAGCATTTTACTACCACTACAACTATTACTTGCATTTATATAGTCCTGTATGGAGTCCTGTAGCTCAATGGTTAGAGCACTTGTTTTGCAAGCGAGAGACCTGGGTTTGATTCCTGGCAGGGTGAAACCTTGGACAAGTTTCCTTACTCCACACGCCTGATAATAATCCCTCAAAAAAAAACAATAATAAATTGGTCAGTTCAATCCACGACTGTTTGTGGGACACTGCTGTGTGCAATTGGCTGTCGCATTTTGCCCACAAAATATGCAGTCAATTCACTTTGCAGTATATTCTGTGAAGCGCTTTGAGACGTCTAGAAGACATGAAAAGCGCTATATCAAATGCAAGGATTATTATAGCACCTTTCACATGGGTTGCGTCCCAGGGGCGAGAGTGATTATCATTTAGTTTACAGTAATTACTAACAAATGTCACCACCAAGGCCTATATTCATGCTTTCATGACTATGGTAAATTCCTGCTCACTGGACTTCCCAACTCTTCCCTCCACAAGCTGCAGATTATTCAGAACTCTGCAGGTCATGTCCTCTCCCGCACCAAGCTCCGTTGAGCCGCCCATCCCCATCCTTGCTCGGCTCTACTGGCTCACTGCCTCCCCATCCCTCAGAGGATTGAGTTCAAGATCCTCATTCTCACTTTTGAAGCCCTCCATAGTCTTGCCCCTGCTAAAACCCTACCCACCGTCTCTGGCCTGCTTCACATCCCCACCCTGCCCCCTCCACCATCGGTGGTCAGGCCAAATGTACCACAATGGTCTTTTCCAGTCCTATATTCTATAATTGATAATAACCATCCTCCATTAGAGTGTCTGTATTGCTGTTTAGAGATCTTTCTGGGACCAATTACGGTGTATCCGGGAGAGAGTCAGGAATCTCAATCTTACCCCATTACACAGTGGAATTTGACACAGAAATTCCACTTACATATTACAGTATAAGGAGGGAATTTTCTTCCTGTTGGTAAAATTTTCCATAAATAATGACAGGAGAAAAATCCACATT